TAGTCTTGCGAAGAATCCTTCTGCAATGAGCCTCCTCCCCCTGGTATATCCTTTTGTCTATTTGCCCCAGTACCCATTTCCTACAGAGGTTCCTCTTTCATCTAATCCCTCTAACCACCTCCTTTCACATCCATGGTGGCACTCTCCTCCGCCTCCCCACCTTACTGACTAGAGGTATCGTCAAGGTTTGTGCCTCCAAAACCTCCCTTTTGAGTGCTATCCACCCCTCCTCAACTCGTTTACCTCCCAGTAACCTATCCCAGGAGACTTTCCCCAGTCTGGCCTTCAGTTGGCCAAAGTTGGCCCTCTTGAAGTCCCAGCTTCTAGAGCTCGACCTGCTGCACGTCCCCAGTCCCCTGATCTCAAAGCAAAGGATGGAGTGATCACTCGCATCCAGATCTCCCCTAATCTGTACTTCATCTATCAGCTCCTCCCTATTGGTCAAAACCAAGTCAAGGATCTTTTCCCCCCTCGTCACCTCTCGGACCCTCTGTGTGAAAAACCCTCCCTCTATAGCTTCTAGGAAGCAACGTGACCTGGCTGACACAGCCAAGTGAGTCTCCCAACTAATATCCGGGAGATTAAAATCTCCCATAATTACTGTGTGTCTCCCCTGAGAAATCCTTAGAATCTGGCCTAAAGAGCAAGAAAGAGGGGGCGGCAACAATCCAAGCAACATGAAGGGAGCACAACCTGTGAGCAGAAGACAAAATGGAGACAAAACAACAGGGACTTTGAGAGGAAACCATGACATCAACCAGACCCCAATCTGTCCGACCTCCCTCACTCCAAGCTTTAACTCATTCAGTACTTAATTAGTTTGAATGAATTATCTTTTGGATCTTTCCAGCTCCAGTGGAAGCAGCATGAAAAAAAATACAGGGGGTCTGAAACAGGCAAACAGGTTGAGAGGGCAAGAGGAAAGCTGGAGGGGAGCAGAGGAATTCAAAGGTGGGGGCATGGAAAACTGCTCTTCTCTCTGAGGTCAACTCTGTGGATTGGGAGCGAGGAAAGGAGGAAAAGGTCAAGAAAAGACTCCTAAGGTGTCCTGGTTGGTGCGGTGAGGGAATAAATGAGGGAACCGAGAACTGTGTGTGTGTGTGTATGTGTGTGTGTGTACGAAATATGTTCCTTCAAATGTAATAAGTGAATTTCCTGGCAGTCTCCCTGGATGGAGAATGGAAACTCACCACCTGCTTTTACCCCATGGCAGCTCCCCCATCAACCCAAAAGGGGGCAGCAGCTTCACATACAACATGGAATGTGCTGAAGAATTGAAGAGGGAGGCATGTCTAGGATGGGCATTCATGTGTGCTCGCCTGTGGCTTCAACCGTCCCATTGTTTCCTGTGGTGGTTTGCTGGCCAACTGCAGCTGCCCCTCCATCATGTGAATCCCCAAATTGCTTCCCTCTGAAATATTGAGGGGAAACTGAGAGAGTGATGAAGGGAGCAACCAAAGCAAATTAGAGAGAAGTCTGGCTGGAGAAAGAAGGAAGTAGTACCAATGCTGAGGCCGTTACTCAGGTTAGCACTGAGCAGTTTGATCCAAGGGGCTGGGAGAAGATTGCAGTGACACCTGGGGTGTCTCTGAAGGAGAGCAAGTCGGAGCCAGAAAACGAGGAAGGGGTGCTTCCCTGAATCCCAGGTGGGGGCATGCAAGTTTCCTGCCAGGAGCTTCCTGACCTGGGTGTAGGACATGGGGCAAGTGAAGGGTCTTCTCTCAGCCCAAGGCCGCAGTGGGTCAAAGCACCAGGCAGGCACACTGTGGAGGACTGAGTGTGGAATCAGACAGCAGCATCTGAGTGTGCAATGCCGGAAGATGGGAAGTTTCTACGGCATGCCGGGCTGAAGACAAATATTCCCCTATTGAAGACCTCCAGGTATGCCAGGCAGAGATTTTTGAGTTAAAGTCTTCCATGGCACCATCATGTCACAAAATGACGTGCAGTTGTGCTACTGCAACTAAGCTTGCCTCCAACCGTACCTTCCCCAGCGGCCATTGCCTTGCCTTTATCCTGATGCATATGCAAATGTTCAGGGGCAGTATCCTCTTTAAATCTGCCAGGCTAACTCTCCCCCCACCTAGATCAACCAGTGCACCTGAGGCACTTTTCAATCAACCTTTCCTACCATTTCAGGGGAAAATGAGAGTTTTCCTTCAATTTGTCTTGTTTTCTGCAGTTCTTGGAGGTACATTTCTTCCTTCACGAAAAGGGATATTCGGCATTCCAAGATTGACTTTGCTTTAATGTCCCCCCTCCTCTGTTAAATTCTTGTTCCCTAGGGGTCCAATCTCAGGTCCAACTGGTGGAGTCTGGAGGAGATGTCAAACGACCTGGGGAGTCCCTCCGCCTCTCCTGTCGAGGCTCCGGCTTCACCTTCAGCAGCTACTGGATGAGCTGGGTGCGTCAGGCTCCTGGGAAGGGACTGGAGTGGGTTGCACGAATAAGCAGTGGCAGTGGATCATCCCAATACTATGCGGACAAGGTGAAGGGGCGCTTCACCATCTCCAGAGACAACCCCTCCAGCATGTTTCATCTGCAAATGAATGGCCTGAAGGCTGAGGACACGGCAGTGTATTACTGTGCAAGAGACACAGTGGGAGGAAGTGAATGTGCAACCAGGCAAAAACCCTTCTCTGGAGTTACAGGCAGAGTCAGAGCAGCATCAAAGCCTAGACCATGAAGGAGCTGCTTTTCAAGGCAAGGAGAGCTCTACCTGCATCACTCTTTCCACCTGGGACCACTTTTCTATCGAGCCATTCTATCCATTGAATGGGAAATTGATCATTTTCCTCCAACGTGGCTGATTTTCAGCAGTCCTTGGATCGGAACTTCTCCTTTCACCTCTAGGAAGACGGGATGTGCAAGTTCTTGATGCATCCATGAGCTCCCTCTAACATCCTTCTCGGGCAGGTGTCCGAGCAGCACTGCAGGTGATTGACTCTGGAGGGGATGTCAGAAGAGCAGGAGTCCCTCCACCTCTCATGTTGAGCCTCCTCCTTCACCTTCAGCAGCTCCTGGATGCCTGGGTGCACCACGCTCCAGGGAAGGGTCTGGAATGGGTTGCAGAAATAAAGCATGATTGGAATTGTACAAATTTAGTCGGCTGTTTCCAAAATTCCTTCCTCAGTCCAAACTCTTTCTCCATTCTCCCACTCTCTGGTGTCATGGACATTAAGCTTGAATCAGGGAATACCAGGAATATCAGAGAAGAGCCAAAGAAATGGTCAGGGAAGGAAAATAAAGAGACAATTTCCCCCCCTCCCAGGGTCATCTGAGAAGCTGATTGCTGGCAGTATTTGGAGGGATAAGTGGAAGCACCTCTTCGTGCATTGTGCAGTCAAACTATGGCATTCACTGCTTTGGGAAGGGGTGCTGCCCACCAATCTGGGCAGCTTTAAAAGAGGATTGGACAGATTCAGAGGGAGGAGCCTCTCAGTGGTCACTAGCCTTGCTGGCTTTGTGTCCCCTCCTACACCAGAAGTGGAATGCCTGCAAGCATCAGTTGTTGAAGGGCTTGTCCAGGGGTGGCCCTGCATCCACCCTGCCTGAGGACCTGTGGCCAGCTGGCTTGCTGCCAAGAGTGCAGAGGGCTGCACCATGGGTCTGATCCAGCACCTCCTATGTTGTCTTCCCCTGTTCATTGCATAGAAGCCACCATAGAGAACCCGGAGTTGAAGCAGGAAGGTCGTGATCCTTGTAATACCTGGAAGGACCTGCCTGGGAGGAAAGGAACTCCATGTTCCCCAGAGTGACCCTGTCCGAGAGCATATTGCAGCCAATGGCGGTGGAGGGAAGCATGCGTTGGACCCCAGGAAGCTCTGCTCCCTGCGCAGCAGTCCCCAACTCTGTTCTGCAGACCCACCTGGAGGAGGATGATAATGCAGGCAGAGACAGGGTGACTGAGATCAAGCCCCATCTGCCCTAGACCTCTCTCCCCAAAGAACCTTTCGCACAATGCTTTCTGGGCAGCATGTTCTGCAGCAGAGCATCCATAGGAATGTGGAAGTGAGGTTGCCACTGCTGGATGAGTGGATTTTCCTGCCAGTCTCTCAGCCAAGGACTGAGTGCATGGCGGCTGCCCTCCAGCAACCCACAGGGGGCAGCAAGCACACAGGAATGGAAACTGTCCAATGCCTTTATTCGTGCATGATGGGAAACACAGATGTGATTCAAGTAGTCACCCATGAGTGCTCATCTGTGGCTTCAGCTACCTCTACAAATGTTCCCTCTGGCTTTTTGCTTGCCAACTGCACCTGCCCCTCGATCCTGCCAGTCCCCTGAGATGCTCCCCAGGATTCCTTGCAAGCTGTCCAGGGAAGTGAAAGGGAGGGAAAGCATAAATTTTTTCAAGGAATGTCATCATGGAATCAGAGCCAGAAGAGGCCAGAGGGCCGCTAGGTAAAACCCTCTGCCAGGTGCAGACACCAAGTTCAAACATCCCTGAGGGCAGCAATCTTAGTGTGAAACACGGAGAGCTGACAGCAAGAGAAAGGACTATGAGCAGGTCGTTACCCAGCTGGACTGAGCCAGTTGGAGAAAGAGGCTGGAGTGGAAATGGGGGTGCCCCAGAGGAGTGTGAACCTGGGAGAAAGAGGCAGGGCAACTTCTGTGGTTCTCAGTAGAAGGCAAGAGGAATACCTGGAGGTAATTCCTGACTGTGATGTGGGGCATGGGAGGAAAGGCCAACGGCGAGAGCTAGGCGACTCTTGCAAGCGAGAATCCCGTGAGCAGAATATCCATCAAGCACCCAGCTGGGGACTTCCATACATGTTGGGCAGCAAGAACAAGCCACAGTGCAACGTGGCAGCCCTGCTCTCAGGAGGACTGTGGTTGTGCTGCGGGAACCACATTTGCTTTGGGTAATTGATTGTTGAGGGGCCAAGCCTGTGCTTTTTTTCTGGTGCATATGCAAATGTCCTCAGGCTGGTTCCTCTTTAAATCTGCCATGTCTACTCTCTGTCCCCTGTGTACTCCAAGCCACCCTTCAGTGAATTCTTTCAAACTACAATACGGGAAAATGATATTTTTGCTGCAGTTGGCCTTACTTTCAGCAGTCCTCAGAGGTAATATTCTTTCCTCAAAAGGGGTTTGCAACTTACAAGGATTTAATATACCCTCCAGATCACTGTGAACTTCCTTTCCTTCTAGATGTGCAGGCAGAAGTTCAACTGGTCGAGCCTGGAGGGGATGTCAAAAGGCCAGGAGAGTCCCTCCGCTTCCCCTGCCAAGCCTCCGGCTTCACCTTCAGCAGCTACGGAATCAACTGGGTGCGCCAGGCTCCACGAAAGGGTCTCGAACGGGTTGCCTATATAAGCAGCAGTGGGGGCTATATATACTATGCGGACAAGGTGAAGGGGCGCTTCCCCATCTCCAGAGACAACCCCTCCAACATGCTGTACCTGCTAATGAGCAGCCTGAAAGCTGAGGACACAGCCATGTATTACTGTGCAAGATACACAGTAGGAGGAAGTGAATGTGCAGCCAGGTAAAAACCCTCCTGGAGTCTCCCTGGTGCTTTCCCTGCCTCAGACAGAACAAAATAAAGGCCTGCCGAGCCACTGCTCAGAAATGGGGAGTCCTCCTCGCCCAGTCCGGAGCTCCTCAGGTCTACTGTGTCCAGCCATGTTGCTTGGCCAAGCCCACTGCATGGAATAAATGGAGATTCTCCTCGCCTTCTCCTCACTCTTTTCCCACAATGAGCCACTCTGCTTTGTGCCCCTCCAGAGGCATCAATGGAAAGGGAACAATATTCTGACTTCTCGACGAATCAAACCACTGTAGTTTATCAGTTAGGAGCACCGGACTGGGCCTTCAGTGAGCTGGGTTCATGTCCCTTCTCAGTCATGGAGCCACCTGGGTGACTCTGAGCCAGGGAAGGACTCTCAGCCCAGCCCACCTCACACGGGGCTTGTTGGAAGGCTTAGGCTGGCAACAGGAAGAGGGGAATGATGTCACCTGCTTACACTTCTTGAAAAGAAAAATGTTGGTATCCAAAAGAATACATAAATCTATAAAGACATCATCCTTGAGATTAAGCCTGTAGGCAAATAGTTCCCTCTCCTCCTCCTCCTCCTCCTCCTCCTCCTCCTCCTTTTTGTTTGTTTGTTTAACCTGTTATTCATTTTTGGTGATAGAATGAGGTAATTAACAGTCACAAAGAGTGGGGGTGGCTATCCAGATTCAGAGGGAGGAGGGTCTCAGTGGCCACTAGCCTTGCTGGCTTTGTAGCCCCTCTTGTACTGGAAGTGCCATGCCTGCATGCCCCAGTGGCTGAGGGGCCTGGCCAGGGGGAGGCCCTGCACCCACCCAGCCTGTGGACTCCTGTGGCCAGCCGGCTTGTTGCCATGGATATGGAGGACTCAACTGTGGGTCTGAGCCAGCATCTTGTATGTTCTCTTCTCCTGTTCATGGGCTGCAAAATCACACAGGAGCCTCACAGAATTGAACCATGATGGCCGTGATCCACGCAGTACCTGGAAGTACCTGCCAGCCAAAAATGGAAGTCCCTGTTCCCCAGTTCAGCCCCAGCCGGGAGGATGCTGTGCACAATTGTGGTGGAGTGAAGTTTAATTTGAGCACCGGAAAAGCTCTGCAGCTGACACAGAGGCCTCCCATTCCAGTCTGCAGATCCACCTGGAGGAAGGCCATAATGTGGGCAGAGACAGGTTGTGCAAGATCAAGCCCCGTGTGCCCCGGACTTCTCTTTCCGAAGGACACCTTTCTCACAAAGTTGTCTGGGCAGCATGTTCTGCAGCAGAACATTCACAGGAAATTGGCAGTGAGTTTGTGTGTGTGTGTCGAAATATCTCCTGCCACTGCTTGATGAGTGAATTTTCCACTCTGTCTCTCCCCCCATGAATGGATTGCATCAACCCAAAGTGGACAACAAGAACACAGGAAGGAACAATGTCAAACCCCTTTAGCCATGTAGGGTAGGACACAGATACATCATTCAAATGTTGCCCATGGATTCCATGGCAGCTGTCCTTCGCGAACTCAAAGGGGGCAGGAAGCACACAGGAATGAAAACAGTCAAATGCCTTTAGTCATGCATGATGTGAAACACATACATGATCCAAGTAGTCATCCATGAGTGCCCTTCTGTGACATCAGCTGCCTCCATGAACATTCCCTGCGGCCGTTTGCTTGCCAAGTGCACCCTCCCCTCCGTCCTGCCGGTTCCCTGAGATGTTCTCCAGGATTCCTTGCAAGCAGCTAAGGGAAGTGAAAGGGAGGGAGCACACAAACTCTTTCAAGGGATTTCATCACTGAGTCAGCCAGCTGGAAGGAGCCAGAGGGCCACTGGGTAAAACCCTCTGCCAGGTTTTTACAACAAGTTCAACCATCCTTGTGAGTAGCCAAGTGGGTGTGAAACAAGGAAAGCTGAGAGCAAGAGAAAGGATTATGTGCCAATCATTTCTAGTTAGACCTGGGGTCTCAAACTCAACTTACCTGGGGGCCTCTGGAAGTAGAGTCTGGGTGAGGCTGGGCCACATCAAATATTCCACCACCGTGGTGGTGGTGGGCCGCTCATCCGGAGGCCAGCCTGGGTGCCACAGGCACTTTGAAGGCCACAGGGCCCCTCCCCCTTGCCCCACCCATCCCAGCAATTGGCCCACGGGCCGTGAGTTTGAGACCCCTGAGTTAGACTGTGGCCATTGTATCAAGAGACTTGAGTGGAAATGAGGGTGTCCCAGGTGTGTGTCTGAAAAGGAGCCAATGGGAAAGAGTCATATTAACTTCTGTGGTTCTCAGTAGAGCCGCTTGTTGTGAGCCACCCCGTGGCTTCATTGCAATGGGGATGGCATAAAAATGTTTTAAATAAATAAATAAATAAATAAATAGAAGGCAAGCGGAACACCTGTGAGGAACTTCCTGACCGTGATGTGGGGCATGGGATGAAAGTCCCACAGCCAGAGCAAGGGGGCTCGAGAAAGCAGAACTGCCGTGCGTAGGACCCCCATCAAGCACTCAACTGGGGGCTGCCATGCATGTGGCAGACTGGGCCAGCTGCAGTGCCATGTGGCAGCCATGTTATCAACCGGCCAGTGTGTGCTGCCACAACCGTGGTTTCCTTGGGCCACGGATTTGCGTTCTTTTGTCCTACCAATATGGAATGTCCTGATACTCTCATGAAAGGAGTCATTGCAATATTTTCAGGGACTTTGTGAATTAGAAATTTGTAGAGCATCCTCAGAATCCTCTGGTGCTCCATCTCTCACAGTGGAAAATCCTCACAGTCATTACGCAACTGTTAGCTAGAGACAAAATTTAAATCCCCTTTCACTGGTGGTGAATTTGGAGAAATGCTTCCTCTGACGTTTGGGAGGAGACACAAAAGTTCCGCTCATTTCCAGAGGCTCCATCTCAAAGCTGAAGCTCCATCTGAGCACCTTTCTTTCCAGTTTCACCTACTAAAACATTGTGCCAAGAAGCACAGCAAAGCCAGGTAGCTCAAGTGTGACCACAGCAGAGTCAGGAAATGGGAATGAAATTCCAATTTGCACAAATGTCTTGGCTTTCTTTCCCCAAGTTTCTTCCCCACCACATCTTCCCTCTCCCCTCCCCCATCCTTCTGTGTCATTCAGGGCACCCGTCCTCTGGATACTGATGTGGTTGGTCCAACCCTAGGAAGACATGACTGGACTGTGGATTTTCCTCTATCCAAGCAGGCAGTGGCAGGGGAAGGATATGCATCCAAACAGTGCAGAGGACACACAACTCCCCCCTCCCCCAATATGATATGGAAGACCTCCAAAAATGCTGGGCAGTGATGGTTGAGTCAGAGCATCATGTATATTTTTATTTATTTGGGATATTTCTAGCCCATTCAATCACTTCTGTCTCTGGATGGCTCACAGCGAAATCTATAAATAAAGCGATAAATATAAATAATATACATACCCGCAAACAATAACAAACTATTATTTATGAATACCAGTATTGGATAAGATGATGTGTACATGTGTTGCTGAAATCATGCTTCCTTCTAACCAGAAATCACAAAGCAGCCATGCTGGTCTTTTATTCTGAGGGATATGCAAATTTCCAGAGGCTCTTTCCTCTTTAAATCCTCCATGCACATTCTACCCCTTGTGCACTTGGGACCACTTCTCCATGCACCTCTTCCTAGCTTTGCAAGGGAAAAGGATGTTTTTACATCAGCTGGCCTTGTTTTCTGCAGTTCTTCTAGGTAAACATCTCTTTTCTCCTAATGGAATTTTGTGTGTACTAGATTTTCAGATGCATGTTAAGGCTCATTAAAAATTCTTCCTTTTAGGTGTCCAAGCAGAAGTCCAACTGGTGGAGTCTGGAGGGGATGTCAAAAGACCCGGAGAGTCCCTCCGCCTCTCCTGCCGAGCCTCTGGCTTCACCTTCAGTAGCTTCTGGTTGGAATGGATACGCCAGGCTCCAGGGAAGGGACTGGAGTGGGTTGCACGGATAAGCAGTGGCAGTGGAGCATCCCAATACTACGCGGACTCAGTGAAAGGGCGCTTCACCATCTCCAGAGACAACCCCTCCAGCATGGGGTACCTGCAAATGAGTGGCCTGAAAGCTGAGGATACGGCCCTGTATTACTGTGCAAGACACACAGTGGGAGGAAGTGAATGTGCAGCCAGGCAAAAACCCTGCAGTCGAGTGAAGAGCAGAATTTGTGCTGAGAAAAAGGGACCCCGGCCTTCTCAGAGCAGAGGTCAACTGGGTCCCGCTTTCCATTTCCCCCAGTGACTGGGCATGTGCTTCAGTCGAGCCCACAGCAAGCAAGATCATGATGTCCACCATGCTTCCCAGCAGCTCTGTCACAGAATGAATAACTCTGATGTGGAGAAATCCTTGCATTTTTCTGCATTACAGTCATGGACATAAAGGAGTCAATGTAATGATGCATTTCCTTGCATCTTGTTTCACACATTAGGCATGTAAAGGAGACAGTGATGAGCCAAGCGTTATTAGTTAGCTCAGGAAGTTGAAGTCACCAGAGTTTTTTTTCCCTTTGATTTATATCCTGCCTTTTTCCTACAAAGGGCTCAAGGCAGCTTATATCATTCTCCTCCTCCATCTT